AAAATTTTCTCTGTAGGTTGAAAACCCGCTAGGGAAACCTAGGCAAAAGGTAGGGATTTCCTGGAAATTAATTGTGTCATACAAGACTTGATCATTAAAGCAACAATCTTCTCAGATTCTCATCACACTTCAATTGAAGCCTCGGCTCAGGAGTTCAAAGTTGTTAGGGAGAATAGTGGTCATTTTATTTCAATGTATCTTTTCCATATATTTACCATTTTCCAAACTTTGCAATCATCCATGGAGTCTCGTCATTTGCGGACTACCATTATATTAATAAAGTTTGAGCCTTTATCCAATTCTTTGTAGTTCTTATTTTATTTTGTTTACAAAAAATTTATTTATTATTGATAGTAATTTTCAAAACAAAAAGACTTAATGATAAAAATATTTTTGAAAAGAATTTGTAAATCACTTTTTACTTCAGATTTTTTGATTCAAGTGGGACAAAATTATTGGTTCCAAGGATGGAAGAACTCTAAAGTTTTGAAAAGATTCCCCAAGAGGTATCACGGAATTACTCTTGCAGATATGCGCATGATCCTCTTGTGTTTAATTCTTTGGGTAGTTGGATTTCATACCAATTGATATATGGTGCAATGTTGGGCATGTAATCCTATTTTCCCCTAGTTAAGTATTGGTTCAGATTTTTCTCCAGGTTGATTATTTGTTTTTGGGTTTTCATGGTTTGATGCCTATACCCCAGATTCTCCAATTAGGACTTGACCCAGATTTTTTCAGCTAAGTATCCAGACAAGGGTAGTATCTTTTCTAAGAAGTTTTAAGACAACTGTCAAATTTTTGGGTTTTCTCTCGCCAAGTGTTGAGTTTGATTTAAAATCCCCATAATTTTGACTTTATGATGTGTTGTTAACTTCTTAGATCCCCAAATGAAGCAAAGACGATGTTTCTCTCTAAAAGTTGTTATCCCCGTGAAGTTTCATAATTTCTCCCCAGAGAAGTTTGCACAACCATTACTCTTGATATTGAAGAATGTATTTGGGCTCTCCTTGACGATGTGGCATTGTTTTCCCTAGTGAAGTCAGTACAAAATCCACAGTTGAAGTCTAGATGATGTGGCATTGTCTTCCCTAGAGAAGTTTGTATGATACTCCCCGGTGAAATATGGAGGAGGATGTTATATTCCTACAACTGTATTGGTTTATTGCTATTAGATTATACTCTGATTATTTTCAAGCCATGTTTCTCCCAGTGAAGTTGAGTCGTGAAGTAGGACTTTGTTTCCTCAGTTGGTGCTTACTCTCTTATGGAATCTTCATCATATATGTGATTTAGTTGAATGTTGTCTTTACCCAAGTTGGTTTTGTCTAGTTATCCTCAGTGCAACGTGTTTGTTTTGTCAGCATATACATAATAATATTCATACAGTCATACACATCATGCATAGCTGAATTAAAATCCATTGCTCATTTGCATTCATTGATGTTTTTGTTGGCATATTTTCCTCTTTACAGAGTTATGTTACCTTGTCTCTAATAGATTGTCAACCTTAAGCAGAAAGTGTATATCCTTTCAATTACCCCACTGAGTTATCCCTCGTGGAAGAATTTTGCTTTAGCCTTCCTACCCAGTTAGTTATCTGGATGGAACTTGGTCCCCATTTGAGTTTACTTCTCATTTTGGATGGTGTCTCGGTTGACTGTTTCACTCCGGTTTGTTTCTGGTTTGAATTTGTAGTCCCCGACAACAGTTTTATTTTGACCTCTCTAGGTTGTGAGCCTTAGATTGAGAATGTGAATTTACTTTGCACATGAAGACTTTATCACCTCAGCAGGAACGCATTAGCACTTCCCCAGAAAGTCAAGATTCATTTCCCAGCAGCGTTATCACAATCCTCTTCGTAAACAGCAAGTTGCAGGTCTCTTTATTTAAGCAACCTGTTATTCCCCCAGTAAGTTTGTTAATGCCAGAGAAGATGTTTTTTACTCCAATGAATGGTAGTCTCTTCATTATTGGAAATAGTTCACTTTTGATATTTGTAATCCGATGGATGGTAGTCTCTTCATAACTGGAGATAGTTCGTTGTTGAGATTTGTACTCCGATGGATGGTAGTCTCTTTATTATGGGAGATAGTTCGTTGTTGAGATTTGTACTCTGATGAATGGTAGTCTCTTCATTATGGGAGATAGTTCATTATTGAGATTTGTACTCTGATGGATGGTAGTCTCTTCATTAAGCGAGATAGTTCGTTGTTGAGATATTTTACTCTGATGTATGGTAGTCTCTTTATTAAGGGAGATAGTTCGTTGTTGAGATGTTTTACTCCGATGGATGGTAGTCTCTGAAGATGTGAAAAACACAAGAAGGGGGGTTGAATTGTAAAACTTAAATCAAATGAGCAGACAACACTGTATTTTTATCCTGGTTCGTTTGATCTCAAACTACTACAGTCCACCCGTCAAGGTAATTTCGCCTCTCTCCAACGAGGTCTTAATCCACTATATTCAACTGAATACAACAACTACTTTAACAACTGTTAAAGCCTTCTTGAGTCTAACCACAGACCGATTTATCTCAAGGAAATTCTCTTACAGATAATTGAACAAAAGTGTGTTTGATGTTTTCTAATAAAACTATATATCACAACTGTGATAATACACAATATTAAGCTTAGAATGAAACTGGACTGCTAATGCTTTTGAGTAGGCGTGGTTGAAAGCTTTAGCAAATTGTATGAGTGAGTTCGTTTACGTAGGCGTGTATATGCGTGAAGATTATTAGCCTTTTCTTTTCTCATATAGTCTTGTTTAAATAGCCAAGGAAGAGATACGTTGGTGTCCATAAATCACTTTCAATGATAATAACGTTCTTTCCTTTTTGAGAAGATCTTGTCTTGTGTTGTACCCCAAAATTTTCCCTCTCCTTTCCTCAACATTTCCTCATCACTAGACCCTTGGAGTTCAAGAACAAATTAGGGTTTACTCTGCTCAAGACTCCTCCTTGCACTGTTGACCCAAATTAGGGTTTGAGTTTGCACAAAGATGTTTTGACCTAAAATGCCCAAAATGACTTTCATGCTTCATGTTGGACTCACTAGTTTATCCATACCAAGTGTTGCACCCCAAAATTTTCCCTCCGAATTTCCTTTATTTTTGGCTTAGACTTTTGCATTCATCTGCATCTTTTTCATTAGGTCACTAACGTGGCATACATTTCATTCAATATAGCTCTGAGGTTCAAAGTTCAGTGGTTGTGCGATACTAGGGTTTCATAGTGGTTAAGGCGCTCATATCCAATAAAGGACTTCTTCTCCCTCAAGCAGCAAGGCTATTATCTTCTGATAAACAACCGATTATAGGTCATTCTGGTCAAGAACTCTAGGACGTGACCTAGCATATGTGGGCTTCGAATCATGACGTCATTTCCTATAAGTATGCTTGTCATTTGATTAGGATTAATGACTGTGACATGACAATCATCTACTCCTCAGTTAATCAAATTAGGTTTTGTTGAATCATGGTTCAAAGATGTTTTATCTGGATATTTCTCTGTGCGTCTGAACAAGGAATCAAGATTGTGAGGGTTTCACATCAAGGGAATTCTTCTGTGATTCAGACTTTATCATCCATCTGTAAGATGTTCCTTATGACACTAATCTCAAGTTGAAATAACCGATCGCTAAGGGCTGAGGATTGAATTGTGAAGCGTGGTTCATGACCTAAGATATGAATTCATAGATTTCTCCTTAACCAAGGCAATCATTGTCCTCATCATTGTCATTTGTTATCTGCGATGCAAGTAGGTTTGGGTTGAAGTAGGTTTCTCATAAGAGAATTCATGCAAGTTAATTCAAGGTTCAAGGCATTCAAGGCAGGGTTTGTTCAACATGGCATACCTGGTTGATGGGCTTACAAGCTCTTATGAGACCTTGAGATGCATAATCATGGGCCAATTTCAAAGATATGTGGATAAGATCTGTTGACTTCGGTTAAAGTAAGCTTTGAAAAATTAACTTTGGGACCAAGGTCTCCCTTGAATTTTCATCTAATATGTGTTGGGAATTCGAGTTGCATTTGAAGAATGGTATGGTAAAGGAAAAGAAATATTGGTTCAGAAAAGAAAAAATTCATTAAAAATCAGAATTTCTATTCATTGATAAAAGTTCAAGTAATTGAAGATCAGGGGAAATAAGGTTTCATATTAATCTTGATCATATTCTTTCATTATCATTTGTGTACATCTTTGATGATTAAAGGTCGTCAATTAGAGAAGGACCTCGTCGAGATAAGAGACTTGTGGATTGAATCGTAGGATGAGGCATGATGCAAAAGGGCGAGGTTGTGAATTTTTAGGATCAAGATCTTCTTGACTATTCAAATTATTTGTCATTCAAGTTGATTTGGGTTCAAGATTGAAGTTAGGAGTTCATTGAGAATGCAAGTGTGATTTGGATTTGAAGTTTGGTTTGAGTTCAAGATGTTCGAAAGTGTTTGATTGGATTAAAGTTGGCAAAGAGCCTTAAGTATTGATCATATGAGTTTCTTGGAAGGTAAAGTACAGACTGCGAGGTCTTGTTTCAAGTTGGAGTTCATACGCATTACAAAGACGTTCATCGTTATTCCGGATTCAAGTTGACATGTGTTCAAAGTTTATTCGAACCCTTTCATTCATGATTCAAGAAAATACTATCCAATTCCATTCAATTTCATTCAAGTGTAACAATACCACAAGAAAATTTGATGCTTTCATGTCTTCAAGCATTTTTTCAAGACTTTGTCATTTAAACTCCGTCCAAAAAAAATCCATCACCCGACATTTCAAGCTCAAAGTCATTAATAATTCACACTATAAATTTAAAGTTCATCCAAACCAAACATTCATTATAAAATCATTACAATCCCATTACACCAATATTCTACAAAGAAAAAAAAACTGTTACAAAATACACTTGAACAAAATTCTTTAGTCCTAAAGGTGCTAAAATTCCATGAGTAAACTTCTAATTCCATGCCATGCCAAAGTTCTTCATCTTCAGTTCATGACCTGCACATTCATACAAAAAAAAATCCAAGTCAATACAAGCAATCATACCAAAATACCCCCATTCCCACCGCTACCCTCATTTCACACAGTATCACAAAAAAAAGCTGCCTCCTCCTCGACATCAGACAATAATAGCTCATTCAGAGGAGATGAAGACGAGCATGTGGAACTGCAAGCTCACTTTTCAGATTCTCAATCTACTGGAAAATCCTCTAAGTCAAATGTAAATAGTTCTTCCATGAAAGATAAATCTTATTTACCTCACTATGATTCATTGAGCACTGTGGTTGAAAATGTACAATCAGAACCTATTTTATTCTCAACTACTAAATATCATGAAGCAGAGATTGAAGGCTTGCCATCCAACCAGCTTCCAGAAATTGTTGAGTTTCAAAATACAGATAATAGAAAGTTTGTCATGTGTGATGATGCCCATGTTCACGAAGAAGTGGTTTCTGACTCTCGGCAAACAAATTCTGAGCTGTTGACTTCAGGAAAGATGTTGTGTTCTGATCTTGAACCTACCAAACCAGTGACGCTACCTGCAGTGATTCAGTCAGATGAAAGTGTTTCTGACAATGTTGAGCTTAATAGATTAGGAAATGGTGCAGACAGATCAGGTCTTGTTGAATCTTTTGCTTCCAAACCTTCTTCTCCCTCCCTTATAAAAGATGATACGGTCCCTGTGTACTCTTCTGACAAAATTTCATCGGACAACTTGGTTGATGATTCCCTTTGTAATGATTCACAAGAAGGTTCCCTTTGTCCATCCATCAAAGAATTAGGCTTGAATTTAGGTGATGAAATAAATGGATTCAAGAGCAGTGTTGATCCAGTTGAAGGTGATGGTCATATTGAAAATCCTTCTTCTTATAATCATGTGATGGTAAATGGTGCGATCACTGAGTCAAAAGATCAACCCATTCCTTCTGTTGATAGTGTTGAAAATGATGCGGGTATCATTACTTGTCCAGCTTCAAGTATGATTAGTTCTCCTTCAAGAAGCCTTTCAAATCCGCGAGAACTAGTCCACGCTTCTTCAGACTCTTATCCAATGGAATCCAATGAAGTGGAATTGACTCAAATTTCATCGGACTCAAATACAGAGAGTCAATTGGCACCATTGCCAGATACAACTAATATTTTATATTCTCCAATGAGTAATCTCACAAAATTAGAAGAATCTGTTTCTGCTTTTGCAGATCTAAATGAGAAAGAGACAGAAGACCATGAGGTAGTTGCTAGAGAATCTTTGACAGCACTAGAGGGACAGAAGGCAGCGGGTCATCCAAAACTTGTTTCTTCAGATGTACAAATGAACCTCAACAAATTGGTGCCTTGTGATGATCTTCCAGATTTGGGAAATAATATTGAAAAATCTCCTCCTAGGAAGAAAATCCTACAGAGTGTTTTCCAGGATGATGCAAAAGTGGTGCCTGGATTTTCTGGGTTTGACACCCGGCAGTCAGAATCTACTAGTTATGGCCAGAATGATCTTATACAGAATGACACAAATAGTTTTTCATCTACACCTGATAACAAGTTGGAGTTTGAAACTTATTTTGAGCCACACTTACAATGTCAACTTGATGAACAGGATGGAGAGTTTCCACTCAATTACGAGGAAAACTTTGGCTCTGAGAAATCTCAATCTCAACAGATGCATATAAATCAAATGAAGCAAGAAGGCACTCATGCTACTTCTGAATCTGTCTCAGAAACCCCTGCAGATGAATCACCGTCATTTTGTTCTTCACCACAATCATCTGGCCCGGAAATTAACCCTACACAATATGTCACAGATCCGTTGAAGCCTCTTCTCCCTGACCACTTTCCTAAGGAAACTGAAAACAAACTTGATGGGATGCCACCTATGCCTCCTTTACCTCCTATGCAATGGAGAATGAGCAAGGTTCCACATGCTTCCCTAGATTCAAACAGAGAGGAGTTAGAAGTGGATCCGTCTCCAGTTCAACGAATGCAGCTAGTTATGCCCGATACGAAGTCTCAATTTGGTTTTACAGCTTCTGATGGAAATACCCTATTTCATCAGAATCCATTTTTGCCAATCATGGCTTTGGAAAGTGATAAGCTCCAACATTCTTCTGCCGTAAGTGTTTCAGGGTATCCAATTGCTTTACCTATTCAGTTTCCTATTGTGGTTAATGAAGCAAATGGTCAGTATGGTCAGTATAATTACCTAGTGCTGGACGTAAACCAGATTCAGAACCCCGTATTAACGCTGCCCGTGGTACCTGCGAGCATGCATCCACCACTTGGTTACATTGTTGCTTCTGATGGAGAAATGGTACATACTTCAAATCCTTACGCACCAATACTACCTGTTGTTTATACTGCATCTAGACATGATTCCTCATCTCCACAAGTGGAACCATTTCAGCGTCCAACTCAAGTAATGACAGAGAGCAGTGCAGATGATAAAACCCAAGAGCAACCTTCATCTGAAATGGAGCTGAAGCAACAAGGACCTGTCGTGGAACAGATACAAAATGTTGCCTCACAAGTAATCCTACTTAAAATGTTAGATTGTAAGAGATATTTTTAGAAATTAATTCTTGATTATCCGATTACTCGATACTCATGATTCACTTTTGTTTTTTGGAGATTTGAGTCTTATGCATGCTTATTGTGTGATATGTGGATACCCTTGAAATTTCGAGTGTGATTTATTTTCACATCGATGATGCTTCAACACTTATTCCGAGCATTGGATTTCTAATTCTTTTCTTTGTTGATGCTAGCAGCTCGTGAGATCATCAAGTTTCTTTGCTTTTTTACTTTGCTCCACGAGCTAGTACTCGTTTGGTATATTTTATTTCCACTCTCACCCCGAATTTATCACTTCCCATAGATTGCATGGTATGATGACTTTAGGTTTAGAAATAGGTTAGTCTCCCTGTGACTTTTCTTTTTTTCTTTTCGCATATGCAGTTAAAACAAAAAACTTTTTTTTTTACAAACTTCAAAAATACATAAAAATTTACTGACAAAAACCATGTCTTGGCTAAGTTTGAGAGATGATGAGCGGGTTTCTTCTCGACATTATTATTCTCTTGTTCTAAGCTTTGGTGTGGTTCAAGTCTCAAAGACTCATTTCATGAATAAGTAGAGAAATGGCTAAAATCTCTCTCTTGAGGTTAACTAGTTATTATCTACGAGCAAAAACACCAACAAACATAAAAATCTTTTTTCCCTCGGGCCTTTCTTTCAAATCCTTTTCAAAAGAGCGTATTAATTCACTTCTGTGCTGACGCGTAAATCTCCAAAGGTCGAGTTGCGGCAGAAGGCGAGATTAATACTGTTCATTAAAGAAAATACAAACAAACAAAAACACATAAGCCGAACTACGGCTGCTCTGATTCCTTAAAACGGATACGTAGGCATTGGGGTAGGGCCCAGGCAAGAACAATTTTATTTTCCCTACATTCTTTTCTCCTTTTCTTTTGCATGCACTTTCCCTTTAGCAATAATAGACAGTAAGCATAGATTAAACACACCCATAAGATAGATAACAAGAGTGGATACCGTAGAGTACTACGGGCGTGTGGGGTGCTAATACCTTCCCCTCGCGTAACAGACTCCCTTACCCTTATCTCTTGGTCGTTCGACCTTGATTTCATCCTTCTCGGGTTTTCTCGATGTTTACCTTTCCCTTCATGTGGGATAAAAGACGTTTGATGGCGACTTCATTGTTTGATGATTTTCAGCCGGTTGTTTCAGCTGGCGACTTCACTGGGGATAGGTCGACCAAATGTTGGTCCATCCCGGAGTCGCTCCTAGCTCTTGCTTTCTTTTCTTTGGGTGTCTATTTTTATGCTTTCAGTTTACTCATTTGTACATGTTTGCCTGAGCATAAGTTTGCATTGCATTTTATTGCTTTCCCTATTTGTTATCTATTATGCTAGACTCTGTTTTCCATGTTGGGTGGGGATGTTACTATTGAGGTAAAAGGCCCAGTACCCAGGCCAGAGTGCACTAGGACACCTAGGAATAGAGTGGGGGCATGACGGCTATAGGACATGGTCCGATTGGTGCAGTCATGTCATATACCACGCTCGGATGAGGTTCAATTGAAAGTACTTTCATCATGCACGTTTGTGTTGCGATGATTTTACTTTCAGGAGGACCCGTGATTTTCGAGTTACCATTATCTCACCCTGACCTAGTCTTCACACGTGAGTGGGGAGGGATTTATCATTACAGGTACAGTTGGTGACTATGTTCAAATGGTTACTCGTGCTCAGTTGGTGACTATGTTCTGATAGTGACTGTTGTTCCGTTGGTGACTATATGGGTCTCAGATTTTTTATTTTTTTTTTGGATTCGGTATTCAGGATGTTTATCTAGTTATGTTCCGGACCTTTGATCCTGATATATTTTACTTGGTCAGAGATTATACAACGGTTAATCATGGTACTTAGTTCCATTGTATGCAGAATTTGGTTTTGAACCTTTGATCCTGTGATATCCATATTATTCAGCAGATTTATACAGCAGTTATCCAGAGGATTGTATAATTGTTATGCTGAACTTTTGAACTTATGTCATTGCACCTTGCATCATAACATGTTTATTTTACACAAAAAAGGAAGGTGAAAGATTATAAAATAAAAAAAAAAAGTTTGAACATGACATTGCATCCGCTCATTCACCTCATGCATCCATAGCAGGTGCTTCGAAGGTATTCAGAAATGGGGAATCCTTATTCAGACTCAGTATTTTCTTTTCAGAGCTGCAAATCTTGACTTCTCGTCGCTTCGTGGTCAGATTCAAGATATGTAACAACTTCGTGGGGAATTGGACGAGATGAAAGAACAGATGGGATTCGTGGTGCTAGACATGCAGGATTTGGTCCGTGGACAAAAACTCCTGAAAGAAGAGAACGCTCAGTTGAAGACTCAATTGAATTTGGTTATGGAAATTTTGGGGACAATGTTGAAGAAAGAAGATGTTTCTATTCCTGCCACAATAGGAGTTACCATTCCTCCCCATAACCTGAGGACTCTTGTAGGTCAGGGAGTATCTCCTCCGCAACCGTGCATTCCAGGATCCTCCCATCCGCAACAAGTTGTCACTTCCCGAGAGGACCCAAAAGGCAAAGTCCGTCAGCAGAGGCCAAAACAGCCTGAACAAAAATTTGATCCTATTCCAATGTTGTATGCACAATTGCTTCCTCCCCTGCTAGAATTACATTTGGTTAAACTCTGAATTTTCACTACACATGAAAAACGCCCTCATGGCTTTGACGACAATGCTAGGTGCGATTTTCATTCTAGGACACCTGGTCATGATACTGAAGATTGCGTAGCTTTTAAGCACCAAGTCCAGGACTTGCTTGATGCAGGGACAATTCTCTTCACTCCCGAAGGTCTGAGTGTGCAAATCAATCTTATGCCAACCACTACAAAGAATAGGACTACGCCTTCTCCTCTTCAAAGTTCTATCTCACGATCGGAGTCACGTCATCCATAACCTATAATCCCGGAAAGTTCTCACCAGCAGTCGTTTGTAAGTTGTGAAAATCGGTTGGTTAATCAAAACCAGAATGTTCCTCGTGTTCACTTGGCTCAGTGTGCTACTCGGCAACAAACCTATCAACAAAGACATACGCAACAAGGTAAACAAAAGGATAAGAAGCCTAAGAGGGTGTTCGACATTGTTCCTTTGACTTATGGCCAGCTGTTCTCTCAGTTACTCAAGCTTTCCTTGGTGGAACCCAAGCCACTGAAGCCTGTCATTCCTCCTTGTTCTATGGATTCCAATCCTAATGTGCAGTGTGATTACCATGCTGGGGCACTAGGTCATTCCATTGAAGACTGCTGGGCTTTCAAAGAAAATGTGCAAGACCTGCTTGATGCAAAGGCTATCAATTTCGGGCCAGTCAGTTAAATTTGAGGTCTCCTTCGACTCAGTAAATGTCAAGATTGCCAGATCATCATCTGAAGCAACAAGTCCATACCGAGACTGGTCTCCTCAACATAGTAATTTCTAGTTTCATTTTCAATTCTCATTTGTAATCTTTCTTGCTTTGGTTTAGTACTTTCTTGTATGCAAAACTTGTTGATTCTTGAATATTGATCATAATGCATTGAACATGTTTGTCTTGAATTAATCCATTCGTATTCACTCATTAATGTTTTTTTCTTTACCTTTTTGATACTTAACTCTTGTTAAATAAAAAAAAATATCTAAAGGGAGGATGATGAGTAATATACCAAAAATTTCAAACGGTGTGCTTTTGAGTAGGACCCTGCTGACGATGTACAAGCCTTGTTTCAAATTCCCAAACACCGGAGATATAAGGGAGATAGACCCTCGTCAACCCCTTTGAGCCTTGAAGTAGGAGTTTCTTTTCTTTTCAGAAAAACCCTCACATTTAACCCGGGGCAGGGTAGATTTCAGTTAATCTGATTGGGCATTCAAAACTCATTAAAAGTGCACATCAAAGGATACAACAAATGTTATCCTTCAGAAGGTTGAGAAAGAACAAAACCACAGTGGTTAAACTCTTATATATCAGCAGTGTGCATCAATGATAATGATATCCTAACAGATATCTCTCGCACATCGAAAAGTCAAAAGGTGACGATACCATAATGGCTATTTCCCGTCAACCAAACAGCAAGGCAGTCATACCTTTTTCAACAAACCAAAGAATGACTCGAAATCACACGACTGGTTCAAACTAAAAGAAATAGTAAAAGAAAGAGACCAAAAGCCTTGCTAAGTCAAAACTTGAAAAACAAGTCGCTTAGGCAAAAGTCAGGGTATCCCACTGGACTTCAAAATCAAATGCAAGAGGAATTTGTCCAGGCAAAAGTTAGGGAATACAAAAAGAAAGCGAAAAGCGCGAAAAGAGAAAAAGGGGATTACCAAATAAAGATTCTCCACAAAAAATAAAGTCGTGTGATCAAAATACCAAGAATGAAAGGGTGAGTGACTGTCACAGCCTCCTCAACCATGATAAACTCTTTTGAGGGATGAGTGCTCGTATTAGTTTAACTGAATTTAGGATTGGAGAACATCATGGAGAATGGGTGGGCACCAAATTTTTTGAGCCTTAAATCCGTTTTTTCTAAAACCTTGAACCAGGCCACGTTACAACCCTGAAAAGTCCTAACTGAAGCAAGGGTTAATTCGAAAGCACACTGTAACAAGAAATACGGTAATCTGACTCCTAGGAAGGCTTGCAAAAACTTTTGAGCTGGTATCACTCTATCTTTTTACTATCTTTTGTACAAATTTTTGATGTTTCAAAATATTTTTTATATAAATCTTTTAACTTCAAGACAAACATGAGCTTTGCATTACAATTATCATTCTTATAATAAACATTCTTTGCATATGAGCAAGTGCTTAAATATCGAGTAAGTTTGCATAATGAGCATCAGATGAGAATTTAATTATCTCAAAGGACAAATTGCTTCAGGACACCGTTTAAAGGTAAATCATTTGTGGGAATGATCTTAACCTGAGGCAAATCTTCTATCGACTCCGTCGAGTAAAAGAATACCAGTCTGAGAAATGATCTGAAATAGATTGCAA